TCAAATAAATGACAAGATGTCTCCAGGTGTTTTGACAAAAGGTGCATAAATGACAAATATTTACTGTTATAGCAATTAATACATATTAATTATGACCAATAAGATGTGATGATTCCATATAAATATGAAATATATATCTGATTGATCTTTGAATGTTTAATCAGAAGATTCTAAGGTTCTTTGCTTCTTTAGTGACCATAAACACACTTCATATTAATTCAGACAGAGTCAAGTATATAGTTTATGAAATGAATTTAATTAATCTTCCTAAACTAATAATTTATACATGTCAAGATATGAGTAATGACATGTGGTGTGGTGGATGTGAGGTGTTGTGATGGATGCTATATGTTGTAGCAACCGTTCTTTGTATCTGAGAGAAATTGTGAAATCTGGGTGTAAACTTATTTGTTGTTTGTAATAAACTAGAGAGCTGGTTATTGATAAAAAAAAAAACCTCATCAGACGCAAACTGTCGTGCCAAGTCTACGCACCCTTGGTGTGGAGGTTCTCATTCGATCCGGGGGTTGTGCGGGTAACTGCCGGTGGAGTGAACCTCTGATATCAGGAACCTGTAGATAGTTCCGATAGGACCTGTCCAGTCTGAGATCCCTCGAGGTGAAGGCTGAAAGCTGGAATGCTTATTTGCGTCTAAGGTTGATGTTTGCATAGGCTCTTAGAAGAGCCAGTTGTCTGGTATCAGCCGCAGCGTTGGTGTGAGAAGCAAGCAGAGAGTCTCTGATTGCCCTGACTTGGTCATGACAGCATGAGGACTGACGGTCTGCTGTGAATGCTCTTGGATGGGAGAGGAGTCCACGGCAGCACCGCTGCTCAGTGAGAGAGTACGAAGCTGTGTGCTTCCTGTCAGAGCCCCAAAAGCAACACTGTTTGTGCCTGCTTTTGTTTACTAACATATAACATTTAGGAATGACACCGCAGATTTCTCCGTGCCACTTCAGCAGACCTGGCCACGTTTGTATTCCTGACAAGGCTGTATAAACACAACATGGCCGTGTGGGGGCAGACTGTCCCCACACGGCCCAGGCCAAACTGACCAAGAGCCATAAACCCGTCTGCAACAGCTGCAGCTTGGTTGCAAAACCCCTCCAGACACCAAGGCCCCTGTTGTCCTGTAATGAAATCCTTTTGATATAAAAGTGTGCGTGCACGTGTGTGTGTAAGTGTACGTGTGTGTGTGGGTGGAGGTAACATATGACTTGCGTGGTGGTGGGTGTGAAGGATCCAAAGTTAACACTATTTTAAACATTTCTTCTCGCAAGATTTCAATCACATAAACAACATTCTACATTAAGTATAGTAAAAATCTCGAATGCCTCCAAACTGCATTAAACGGGGCATGCACCCCCAAGCCCCCCAAACAATAGAAATAAACAAATGAAAATTTAAATAAAATAAAAAGTGATGTCTAAACTGTCCTGGCACAGAATTGCCTTTCAACAGTCCCTAGGCAACAGAGAAGTCTAAAAAGGAAAAATGTCCATTGAAACATGTGAGTGTCTGCAGCCCCGCAGAGAGAAACATATAAACTAGGCTTTATAGATTGTCAGAGGCTCTATTTAGACCTACAGCTAACCCAGAACATACCCCAATCAGCTTCTCTTGGAAAACCCTTCAATCATCATTATGCAGGCTGTTCTTTTTGATGATCAATGCCCTAATGTAACCTCACTATGTATCCAGGGGTCAATTTATTAATGTTGATGTTTTCACAAACAAACTGTAGCGGGAGAGCAAGTATCCAGGGTCTACCTGTCTGTAGCGGCACGGGAGTCTCATCTGTCTCCAAAGACTGGGATTTTTGTGCTCTGCAGTCTGACCTTGGCGGTCAGCTTGGGGCGCTAAGTAGAGATGATGTTTTGTCAATGCCAGCTGTCAGTGACCAGATATTGTCAGTGTGGCTTCAATGGAAAAATCAATGCAGCATGCAGACTGTGGGGTCACGTTGTGCAGAGTCACAGACTAAAGTAGAATTCTTCTAAAGAGAATGATGGCAACTGCAGCTTTTGTCCACAATCACAGTCAAATATGAACATAAAGTAGTTTTATTTGCATTCAGTTATTAATTTCACCAAACATCAACTGAATTTAGGTTATTTTTGTAGCACCATTTCATCGTCGTCATCTTCCTCCGCTTATCCTGGTCCGGGTCACGGGGGCAGCATCCCAACTGGGGAGCTCCAGACCGTCCTCTCCCCGGCCTTCTCCACCAACTCCTCCGGCAGGACCCCAAGGCGTTGCCGGACCAGATTGGAGATGTAACCTCTCCAACGTGTCCTGGGTCGACCCGGGGGCCTCTTGCCGGCAGGACATGCCCGAAACACCTCCCCAGGGAGGCGTCCAGGAGGCATCCTGACCAGATGCCCAAACCACCTCAACTGGCTCCTTTCAATCCGGAGGAGCAGCGGTTCTACTCCGAGTCCCTCCCGAATGTCCGAGCTCCTCACTCTATCTCTAAGGCTGAGCCCGGCCACCCTACGGAGGAAACTCATTTCGGCCGCTTGTATCCGCGATCTCATTCTTTCGGTCATTACCCAAAGCTCATGACCATAGGTGAGCATTGGGACGTAGATCGACAGGTAAATCGAGAGCCTGGCTTTCTGGCTCAGCTCCCTCTTCCCCACGACAGATCGGCTCAGCGTCCGCATCACTGCAGATGCCGAACCAATCCGCCTGTCGATCTCCCGATCCCTCCTACCCTCACTCGTGAACAAGACCCCGAGATACTTAAACTCCTCCACTTGAGGTAGGACCTCTCCCCCGACCCGGAGTTGGCAAGCCACCCTTTTCCGGTCGAGAACCATGGTCTCAGATTTGGAGGTGCTGATCCTCATCCCAGCCGCTTCACACTCGGCCGCAAACCTACCCAGCAAGAGCTGAAGGTCAGAGCTGGATGAAGCTCGGAGGACCACATCATCCGCAAAAAGCAGAGACGAGATTCTCCTACCACCAAACTCGACACACTCCACACCACGGCTGCGCCTAGA